AAACCCTTATTTTCAAAAACTTGGTGCAGAGATCATTGCTGCCCCTCTCACTCATATATTAAATATTTAATTGGCGAGTAATACCATTCCAAAAGTCTGGAAAGCAGCCTATGTCACGCCTATACATAAGGGTTGAGATCCGTCCCAGTTGGATAACTATCTGTCTGTACTGGCAAAAGTTTTGAAAAACCTGGTGAACTCACAGTTTAAATACTTTCTTTATAATAACTCAGTTTTATCTCAATTCCAGTCGGGTTTTAGAGCCAAGCATAGTACAATTACTGCAGTAAGTAAGGTTGTAGGTGATATTCTAGATGCTCAGGACATATTTTTATTGACTTATCAAAGGCCTTCGACAACTGCCCTGCTGTTGTATAGACTAAAAAAGGTTGGTTTAAGTGCATTTGATTGGTTCCAAAATGACCTTTCTGAAAGAACACAGTGTGTAGCACAGGAAGGTATGAAATCTGAGTTTCGAAGCCTTACAAAAGGAATTTCCCAGGGCTCAATTTGAGGTCTGATCCTTTTTATATTGTATATAAATGATATAAGGAACACTGTTGATTCTGCAAATCTCCATCTGTATGCTGATGACACAGTTATTTATTCTAGTGCATCTAATATTGAGAAGGATTTTCAGGACCTACAGTTGGCTTTTGATGTTATTCAAAGGCAGCTTTTCAAATTGAAACTTGTGCTTAATGGAAGGAAAACAAAATGTATGGTTTTCCCTTCCCTGAAAGTAAACAGATGGAGGCACTTGCAGATTTGAACTATAAAAGGCCAGCAAATTGATAGGGTCACCACTTGTAAGTATCTTGGGATTTGGTTAGATGAAAAGCTGAATTTTAAACAGCACATTGATAATTTGACCAAGTACTGAAGTTAAAATTGGGTAGCTACAACTCCCTTTGTATCTCTGTTCCTTACTGACCAGATCAGTCACTCAATAGTCTTCGTTCACAGTCGCTGCTGTCCTTGTCTGTTCCTAAGGTTAGAACTGAGATTGGGAAACAATCTTTGTCCCATAATGCCCCTTCATCCTGGAACATGCTTCAAAAGATATTACAGTTAGGGGAGTTAGTGTCCTTGCCTGTTTTTAAGTCTCTAATCGACAACACTGTTTGTGATAGCTGCAGTTGTTTCTAATATTCAATTGTATCCGTAACTTGTGACACTTTGTCTTTTGTGTGTATTTTACATATTTTTTAGTCATATTCTATGTACACAATGCTATTTCCCTGTTTTGCCTTCTTGCCAGGTCGCCCTCGCAAAATAGGTTTTTAACCTCAATGGGTCTTACCTGGTTAAAAAACAACAACCAAAAAACATGTTAGAAACACCTTTGGCAGTGATTACAGCTGTGAGTCTTTTTGGGTAAGTCTCTAAGATCTTTGTACACCTGAATTGTATAATATTTGTCCATTATTATTTTTTTAATTCTTCAAGCTCTGTCAAGTTGGTTGTTGATCATTGCTAGACAGCCATTTTCAGGTCTTGCCATAGGCTTTCAAGCAGATTTAAGTCTAAACTGTAACTTGGCAACTCAGGAACATTCAGTGTTGTCTTCGTAAGCAACTCCAGTGTAGATTTGGCCTGCTGAAAGGTGAAATTGTCTCCCAGTGTCTGGAAAGAAGACTGAACCAGGTTTTCTTTTAGGCTTTTGCCTGTGCTTAGCTGTATTCCGTTTATTTTAATCCTAAAAAACTCCTTGCAGATGGCAAACATACAGTGGGGAAAAAAAGTATTTAGTCAGCCACCAATTGTGCAAGTTCTCCCACTTAAAAAGATGAGAGAGGCCTGTAATTTTCATCATAGGTACACGTCAACTATGACAGACAAAATGAGAAAAAAAATCCAGAAAATCACATTGTAGGATTTTTTATGAATTTATTTGCAAATTATGGTGGAAAATAAGTATTTGGTCAATAACAAAAGTTTCTCAATACTTTGTTATATACGCTTTGTTGGCAATGACACAGGTCAAACGTTTTCTGTAAGTCTTCACAAGGTTTTCACACACTGTTGCTGGTATTTTGGCCCATTCCTCCATGCAGATCTCCTCTATAGCAGTGATGTTTTGGGGCTGTCGCTGGGCAACACAGACTTTCAACTCCCTCCAAAGATTTTCTATGGGGTTGAGATCTGGAGACTGGCTAGGCCACTCCAGGACCTTGAAATGCTTCTTACGAAGCCACTCCTTCGTTGCCCGGGCGGTGTGTTTGGGATCATTGTCATGCTGAAAGACCCAGCCACGTTTCATCTTCAATGCCCTTGCTGATGGAAGGAGGTTTTCACTCAAAATCTCACGATACATGGCCCCATTCATTCTTTCCTTTACACAGATCAGTCGTCCTGGTCCCTTTGCAGAAAAACAGCCCCAAAGCATGATGTTTCCACCCCCATGCTTCACAGTAGGTATGGTGTTCTTTGGATGCAACTCAGCATTCTTTGTCCTCCAAACACGACAAGTTTTGTTTTTACCAAAAAGTTATATTTTGGTTTCATCTGACCATATGACATTCTCCCAATCCTCTTCTGGATCATCCAAATGCACTCTAGCAAACTTCAGACGGGCCTGGACATGTACTGGCTTAAGCAGGGGGACACGTCTTGCACTGCAGGATTTGAGTCCCTGGCGGCGTAGTGTGTTACTGATGGTAGGCTTTGTTACTTGGGTCCCAGCTCTCTGCAGGTCATTCACTAGGTCCCCCCGTGTGGTTCTGGGATTTTTGCTCACCGTTCTTGTGATCATTTTGACCCCATGGGGTGAGATCTTGCGTGGAGCCCCAGATCGAGGGAGATTATCAGTGGTCTTGTATGTCTTCCATTTCCTAATATTTGCTCCCACAGTTGATTTCTTCAAACTAAGCTGCTTACCTATTGCAGATTCAGTCTTTCCAGCCTGGTGCAGGTCTACAATTTTGTTTCTGGTGTCCTTTGACAGCTCTTTGGTCTTGGCCATAGTGGAGTTTGGAGTGTGACTGTTTGAGGTTGTGGACAGGTGTCTTTTATACTGATAACAAGTTCAAACAGGTGCCATTAATACAGGTAACGAGTGGAGGACAGAGGAGGCTCTTAAAGAAGAAGTTACAGGTCTGTGAGAGCCAGAAATCTTGCTTGTTTGTAGGTGACCAAATACTTATTTTCCACCATAATTTGCAAATAAATTCATTAAAAATCCTACAATGTGATTATCTGGAAAAAAAAATCTCAATTTGTCTGTCATAGTTGACGTGTACCTATGATGAAAATGACAGGCCTCTCATCTTTTTAAGTGGGAGAACTTGCACAATTGGTGGCTGACTAAATACTTTTTTCCCCCACTGTATCCATAACATGACGCAGCCACCACCATGCTTGAAAATATGAAGAGTGGTACTCAGTGAAGTGTTTTGTTGGATTTTCCCCAAACATAACGCTTTGTATTCAGGACAAAAATATATTTGCTAAATTTTTTTGTAGTATTGCTTACATAAGTTCCTTGTTGCAAACTGGATGCAGTTAGTATTGTGGAGAAACTACAAAGTTGTTGATTCATCCTCAGTTCTCTCATATCACAACCATTAAATTCTGTAACCATTTTAAAATCACCATCGGCCTCATGGTGAAATCCCTGAGCAGTTTCCTTCCTCTCTGGCAACTGAGTTATGAAGGACACCTGTATCTTTGCAGCATCCAAAGCCTAATTAATAACTTTACCATCCTCAAAGGGATATTCAGCATCTTATTTTTATTTTTATTTTTACTAATCTACCAATCAGTGCCCTTCTTTGTGAGGCATTGAAAAACCTCCCTGGTCTTTGTGGTTGAATCTGTGCTTGAAATTCACTACTCGATTGAGGGACCTTACTGATAATTGTATGTGTGGGGTACAGAGATGGGGTAGTCATAAAAAAATTATGTTAACCACTATTATTGAACACAGCATGAGTCCATGCAACTTATTATGTGATTTGTTAAGCACTTTTTTTCTTCTCCTGAACTTAAGGTTAGCCATTTTAAAGGGGTTGAATATTATTGACTCAAGATATTTCAGCTTTCATTTTTTATTAATTTGAAAATATGTCTAAAAACGAAATTCCACTTTGACTTTATGGTGTAGATTAGTGACAAAATCTAAATTGTATCAATTTTAAAATGTGTTGTAACATAGCAAAATGTGGAAAAGTAAAGGGGTGTGAATCGTTTCTGAAGACACTGTATATATATGAGGAACAACAAAGGGAGAAGATTGCAATCAGGAAAAAAATAAGCAAAAAAATGTCAGAAATGTGCAGGTCATGATAAAACTGAACAGTAACAACTATCTACAGAATGTAGCCATGGGAGCAGATGATGCAGAGATATAAGGCCCATCCCATGACCATATGTACACAGCCCATCTGAAATTAGCCCACCCAACTACCTCATCCCTATATTGTTATTTATTTTGCTCTTTTGCACCCCAGTATCTCTATTTGCACACAATCTCTTGCACATCTAGCATTCCAGTGTTAATACTAATTGAAATTATTTTGCACTATAGCCTATTTATTGCCTTACCTCCATAACTTGCTACATTTGCACACACTGTATATATATTTTCTGTTGTATTTTATGACATTATGTTTTTTTTACCCCATATGTAACTCTGTGTTGTTGTTTTTATCGCACTGCTTTGCTTTATCTTGGCCAGGTCGCAGTTGTAAATGAGAACTTGTTCTCAACTGGCTTGGTGAAAGGTGAAAAAAAACAAACAAACAAAAAAAAATTCCTGCTCAGCTCACAGTACTTCCTGGTAGGCAGAAGAGGGCGCTATTGGGCGTCCAACTTTGATCGTGTCATACAGAGTCTGAGGCTAAATGTGACAGACAACCAAGAAGAAACTGTTTCAGCATCATGAAAGGTGGACAATTTCCAAAGTAGACTACATGGTCTGCCATTCACTCATAGACTGTTTTATTAAATTTTTTGTTCAAAGACATCAGGTATGACCATTCATGTCTCGCTCTCACCTTGTTCAGTCTTGGGTCAGCCAGGTCATCCACAGTCCCTCTTGTCTGGAATAAAACAGAAATAGATACTTAAAACCATAAACACAATGGATGAACATTGCACAAAAACATCAAAATACACAGCAATCAGAAATTACAGTAGGCTACACTTACATGGGCTTACACACATTCAGATACATAATAATGGCAATGCATACTTACATCTTTAATTGTTGTGTTGCCCATAACATCCGAATATATTGTGTTGTCAATTTGATATGCTGTGTTTGACAAGAACAAAATATCAACCAATAAGATAGATACTAAACAGGACATCCACAAACATAACCAGTAATTCATAAAGAAACACTGATGAGGCTCCTCTCAGTTTTTCAAATTTCCATAATATTCCAAGGCCAACGTAAAAAAAAAAAAAGTATTTAATTATGCTTATGCAACATCATAATCATCCTAAGAATACTTGCAGAGCCACCTGAAATGTGACTTTATATAGTTGAGACCCCTATGCTGTGCATACCTGTGTTACGGCGGCCCCTGCACTTATACACTGCCACAGCTACAATGAGGATCAGCACCCCTGCGCCACTTACTGACACTGCGATGCAGATGCTATACCACACCCGCCCTGTAAGATAGTCAATAATATCACCCATGTCAATGTTATGCTATTAGATCATACAGTATAACTACAGTCCCCGCCAAAATGATTTACACTCTTGGAAAAGATTAGCAAAAAATACTATAAAATGAATAGCTCACATACTGAGCTATATTGTATGCTGCAAATATTGGGAAAATTATATTATTTTATACTAACACATTTGCTCAGAGAAAGAGATGTTGTTAATCAAGTAATAATTTTCTTCTCAAAAAGATAGGTTTCAAAATGATTGACACCCCTGTTTTCAATACTCCAGCACCCTCCCCTTGCGAGGATGACGACACTGAGCCTTTTTCTAAAATGTTTTATGAGATTGGAGAACACATTGGGAGGGATCTTAGACCATTCCTCCATACAGAATCTGTCCAGATCCTTGATATCCTTCGTCTGCGCCTATGGACTGCCCTCTTCAATTCAAACCACAGGTTTTCAATGGGGTTCAGAGACTGAGATAGCCATTGCAAAATGTTGATTTCGTGTTAAATTTCCTGGCAGAGGCAACCAGGTTTTAATCATGAAGTACTTTGAAAGGCTGGTTATGGCACACATCAACTCCATCATCCCAGACATCCTAGACACACTCGAATTTGCATACCGCCCCAACAGATCCATAGATGATGCAATCTCAATTGCACTCCACACTTCCCTCACCCACCTAGATAAAACAAATACTTATGTGAGAATGCTGTTCATTGACTACAGCTCAGCGTTCAACACCATAGTCCCCTCCAAAATCGTCACCAAGCTTGGGACCCTGGGACTTAACACCTCCCTCTGCAACTGGATCATGGACTTCCTGACGGGCCAAACCCAGGTGGTGAGGGTAGGCAACATAACATCCTCGCAAGGGAGGGTGCTGGAGTATTGGAAAAAGGGGTGCCAATAATTTTGACACCTAAAGTATCTTTTTGAGTAACAAAATCATTAATGGTTAAACAAAATCTCTTTCTCTGAGCTATTATGTTAGAAAAAAATAATATAATTCCCCCTTTTTTGAGCATACAATATAGCTCAGTATTTGAAGTATTTATTTTGCACAGTCTTTTTTGCTCATCTTTATCAAGGGTGCCAATACTTTTGGAGGTGACTGTAAATGAAGCTCTAAAACATGTCTAACAGAATGTTAAGAGAATATTACATTATATATGATATTTGACAACATAAGCATATCAGCACACTGAAGTGTAAGGAGTGGATTATTATGATATCTACTTACCTGGGGTGGTTGTGTCATTACTACACTTCACTGTTGTAGAGGCAGATTTCTCACTGACTAGGTTGGAGGCAGTGCAGGTTACACTGATGTCTCCGTCTGATGGTGACAGAGAGAAGTGTATCTGCTGGTCGTCCCTGTACGTCTCATTCCCTCTCTCCCAGGTGTAAGAGAGGTTGAAGCAGACTGACACGTTACACAGCAGCCACACTGAACAGGACTGGTTGGCCAATAGCTTGATGTCCGTCTGGATAACCATCTTGGATATAGGCTCTGACCAACCAGGAGAGAGAAAGAGAGAGTTATAATCATTCTCCACCGTCTAGCAGATGATAAAATGTCAAATGTAAAAAGTAAGATGTTGTCAATAACACTACAGTCACAGACAATTAAATCAAACAATGAGAAAAAAGCTGATAGCTGCCTATCATGGACCTTAGTGCATCAAACTCATCCTGAACTGTTAGTCTGTGTGTAGTAGTTGACTCTTCCCAATTTCTCTCATAGGTTGCAATGTAAGTACCCCTGTCTTTTTCACTCAGATTCTTAATGCACAGAGAGTGGTTCACTGGATTATATTCCACTTTCTCCATGTATTTAGGAGAGACCTTTTTGTCAGTTACTATTATTGTACTATTGACTTTCCAACGTGGTCTTACAAGCTCCTCCGATGGTTCTTCTACAGGCAGGCACACCGAATCCCCCTTCAATCCATACTTCTCCTTTGGGACTTCAGCCCAGATCCCTAAAGAGAGAGGAATAGTTTGCACCAGTTTTTTCAGTGAGGGATAAAACAACAAAAACAAACCAGGCTAAGACATGAAACTGTGTTCCAATGTATTATTTCTCAAAACCGTTATTTTACACACAATACCCCATAATGACAAAGCAAAAACAGGTTTAGAAATGGAAGTTTATTAAAAATACAAAAACGGTAATATCACATTTACATAAGTATTCAGACCCTTTAAATCTGTACTTTGTTGAAGCACCTTTGGCAGTGCTTACAGCTTCGAGTCTTCTTGGGTATGATGCTACAAGCTTAGCACACCTGTGTTTGGGGGAGAGTCTCCCATTCTTCTCTGCAGATCCTCTCAAGCTCTGTCAGGTTGGATGGGGAGCGTCGCTGCACAGCTATTTTCAGGTCTCTCCAGAGATGTTCGATCAGGTTCATGTCCGGGCTCTGGATTGTCCACTCAAGGACATTCAGAGACTTGTCCCGAAGCTACTCCTGCGTTGTGTTGCCTTTGTGCTTAGGGTTGTTGTCCTGTTGGAAGGTGAACCTTTGCCCCAGTTTGAGGTCCTGAGCACTCTGGAGCAGGTTGTCATCAAGGATCTCTCTATACCTTGCTCTGTTCATCTTTCCCTCAATCCTGCCTAGTCTCCCAGTCCCTTCCGCTGAATTACATCCCCACAGCATGATGCTGGCACCACCATGCTTCACCGTAGGGATGGTGCCAGGTTTCCTCCAGACGTGACGCTTGGCTTCAGGTCAAAGAGTTCAATCTTGGTTTCATCAGACCAGAGAATCTTGTTTCTCATGGTCTGAGAGTCTTTAGGTGCCTTTTGGCAAACTCCAAGCAGGCTGTCATGTGCCTTTTACAGAGGAGTGGCTCCATCTGGCCACTCTACCATAAAGACCTGATTGGTGGAGTGCTGCAGAGATGGTTGTCCTTCTGGAAGGTTGTCCCATCTCCACAGAGGAACTCTGGAGGTCTGTCAGAGTGACCATTGGGTTCTTGGTCACTTCCCTGACCAAGGCCCTGCTATCCTGATTGCTCAGTTTGGCCGGGCGGCCATCTCTAAGAAGAGTCTTGGTGGTTTCAAACTTATTCAATTTAAGAATTATGGAGGCCACTGTGTTCTTGAGGACCTTCAATGCTGCAGAATTTTTTTGGTACCATTCCCCAGATTTGTGGCTCGACACAATCCTGTCTCTGAACTCTATGGACAATTCCTTCGACCTCATGGTTTGGTTTTTGCTCTGACATGCACTGTCAACTGTGGGACTTTATATAGACAGGTGTGTGCCTTTCCAAATCATGTCGTGTCAATTACATTTACCACAGGTGGACGCCAATCAAGTTGTAGAAATATCTCAAGGATGATCAATGCAAACAGGATGCACCTGAGCTCAATTTCGAGTCTCATAGCAAAGGGTATGAATACTTATATAAATAAATGTGTAAACATTTCTAAAAACCTGTTTTCGCATTACAAAATACAATGAATTATTATTCCCATAACATTGTTACAGAGAATCAGACAGATTATGCTACCCTCTCCCTATAGGCTACTTAGCTTATTTTAAGCCTGTCTCAAAATACAACACTGCCCTTTTAAGACAAAAAAAATCTCTTTACCTGACTCGCTTTTCAAAGATGTCTAAAAATGTACACATTTTGTGCTCTTGTAGGAAACAGTCACTCCCGTATTGCTGACTTCAAATTATGTATAAATGGACTGATATTTATTCTGTGTGGCAGTAGCGCAGCCGCAGACGCACACAGTTTAGAGGGAACATTGCAGCTTAGAGGAAACACTGCAGTTTAGAGGGAACATTGCAGCTTAGAGGGAACATTGCAGTTTAGAGGGAGCATTGCAGTTTAGAGGGAACATTGAAGCTTAGAGGGAACATTGCAGCTTAGAGGAAACATTGCAGTTTAGAGGGAACATTGCAGTTTAGAGGGAACATTGAAGCTTAGAGGGAACATTGCAGCTTAGAGGATACATTGCAGTTTAGAGGGAACATTGCAGCTTAGAGGATACATTGCAGTTTAGAGGGAACATTGCAGTTTAGAGGGAACATTGTAGCTTAGAGGGAACATTGCAGCTTAGAGGGAACATTGCAGCTTAGAGGGAACATTGCAGTTTAGAGGGAACATTGCAGTTTAGAGGGAACATTGCAGTTTAGAGGGAACATTTCAGCTTAGAGGGAACATTGCAGCTTAGAGGGAACATTGCAGCTTAGAGGGAACATTGCAGCTTAGAGTGAACATTGCAGTTTAGAGGGAACATTGCAGTTTAGAGGGAACATTGCAGTTTAGAGGGAACATTTCAGCTTAGAGGGAACATTGCAGCTTAGAGGGAACATTGCAGTGTCGTGTATGAAGATTATGACTAGTCTAGAGGGACAAAGAATATATGTTTATCTTAGTTCAAATGTAGCAGTTGTAGGGTGACGCCCCAGGGGAGACTGGTGATTGGACGAAAGAGGGAGCACCCATCTTTTTGCATTGTTTATAAGTATATGCTGGACGAAGTAGGAGTCAGAGCGGCCATTACAATTCGAGGACACTGCTCTCCGGGGGTTTCATGACACCTGTAATTCATGCTGGAAGCTTGTGATATGAATAAACATGATCAAAGGTTCAGTATGAGCGGACTCCTTTGTTTATCAGCAATAATTGCCAGCATTTACTCAATACGACAAATGGCGCCCAACGTGGGGCTGGTCTGCATCTCTCCTTTGCTCCATTCAGCCGCCAAGCTAACTCGTTCTGAAGTCATGGCCAGAAAAGGGTGAGTTTTTTCCTCACAAGCTTTGGGAGTTTGTTAGTTTGGATACTGGTTGTGTACACTGGAGCGATGTACCATTAGGACCGAAATGTGCCTCGTGTGGCGTTATTGCTGAGGACTAGGAGTCTGTAATAATTATTCTAAAATTGGGTTGCATTGGTAAAGGCAGATATAATAAAGGCAGATGAATAAGGCAGAAATGGGCACTGTACCGCGTAAAGACCCCGAAGTGGGCCATTTAGAATGTTCCGAAAATCCGGTTGCGCGTTAGAATGTGCAAGTCGGTGTGTTTTAAAGAAAAACTCGAGTTGATGGAATTTAGCTGATTGTGATTATGGCTCGACTTTCGTCCGACGGGGGGTCCGCTTGGGTGTAATTTCTCAGTAGATGGTCATTAAACTTACGGTATCACAAACGGTAGGAAAATAAGTCAAAAGGAAAGGGCAGTGCAGGGTACTTGTTGCGTGGGGTAGGCCACAGTTAGCTAAAGGCTAAGGCTAATGCTGATGCTAAATGCTGGTTGGGTTTCATGCCACATTGTACATAGCGGCTAATGCTAAATGCTAAGGCTAAATGCTAATTGTGTTGCGTGCTACATGCTAACGGGTGTCCTTAGTGGTCCCATTGCAATGGAATAACCCTCTTAAACTTGTTTGTGTGTGTGGAATTCAGAGTTCTACGCAAATGTGAGCTCTGTTAAGTGTAATTGTGTGATTATAAGGTATAAAATAGTGAAGCGGAATGCTAGGGTTCTGTTGTCTGGGAATCGTATGGTTAAATGTATTTGCGCATGCGTTTAATTTTATGACACTACACTACAAAACGTGGGAGTTGGAGTTTATTGCACGAGATTATGAGACGTTGGTTTACGGTACTAAACTACAACACGTTATTTACTAAAACTACAACAAAGGGGATTGTGGGTAGATTGGTCATATTTCTGTTACACTGCAGGGGGAGACAGAAACACAGAGGGGGAACAAAGAGAAAAGATTTGAAAGGAATGAAATCTTTTAGTTGTTACATCGGCTGTTGGTTAAAGATGAAACTTGTTTTGTGACCTATTGAATTGATAAATTAGATATATGTTGACGGATTATAATAAATTAAATTAAATGACGATTAAAATCAAATAAAAATGTTTTTGAGCGATCTATTTAGTCCTGAGTTGATTCTTAGAGCGAATGTGAGTGGGGGAATATTGAATATGGTTGAAATAACTCAGTGATTGCATTAACTACTAAAATCTTTTTCTGTGTCTCTGTTCTTTTGTCATATGAGAGGAACAATGGAGAGAGAAAGAGAGGGGGTGCTGACGTACACGTCACGTGACGCGACAGATGATCGAGTCAAAAAGGTTTTGGTACTGGTCTGGTTACAAAATCTTCCCCTACAGGATGTTTGATGTTATGACAATTTCACATAGGCTTGGCAAATACTAATTCATTAAAAATTGCATTTCGGAGGCTCTGTGCATCACTTGGGTTTGATTGGAGTTGTGTTGGGAATCAAGGACTGACATTATTCTGTAAAATTAAGATAATTAGGTGCTTATAGAGCAAGGGGGTTTATGGGAATTGTAGTGTTGAAGGGTTAGAGGCTTTGTTTATGGGTATTGTAGTCTGAAGTTGACTACTTGCATTTGATGGGTTGTGATAAGATAGCCACTAATTGATAAATTGGTAAGATAGGATATAGAAATAAAAAATTGGTTTTAATTATTCATAATTTTTCATTGATTTTTTAATTGATTTTTTATTTTAATTAGGAATGCTTTTTTAAATAAAATTTTAATTGAATTTTTTCATATTCATATTTTTATTGATTTATAAAATAAAAAAAATTGGTTGTTTAGTTTATATTAATAATTAAAGGGGGGAAGCCATAGGCTATATAGTCTAAAATAAAATAATTCACGATAAAGGAATATAAAAGGGTTGTTGCAATGGGGAAAAACGACATCAAGGCTATGAAAGTCATTACACCTGTTGATATAGTACAAAATAGTAATCCTTTAGTTAAGGGTATTGCGAGGTTATCCGGCAAATGGAACAAACGTTGGCCTGACATTGAACAACCATGGCCAGTGGAAGGGACTCTTAGCCCTGACGTCATCAACATCATGAAAGTGCTTCTGTCAATTTACAAGGCAGATCAGAAGAAGGGAAGAAAAGGCGACAGAAAAACTAAGGGCAGAAGTTAGTACACCTTTCTCACACACGGA